AGCTGGCCATCCTGCATGAGGGAGAAGGAGATAATGAGCTTGGAAGAAGGGTTGTTCTTCCTATCTCATCCTCCCACATGTTTTGGGAGATAAGTGGTCATCAAGCGAGACTGCTACAAGGCCAAGACGGCCCATTGAACTCTTTGGAAATAGTGCGCACGCTTAATAGGCTTATGAATAGTAACTGACACACCTCTCATAGGTAATGGGCTCATCAGCATGAACACGGGAGGTATGAGCGGGAGGGGGAACATATCAAGGAGTGGTATGATGTAGGCGGATGGAGAGGATTGTGAACTCTTAGTAACCCAGCCAGTGGGAGAAAAGAGGCAGGGTCTGCGAGCTGGGAAAAGGGAGTAAAAGGCAATGTCTTCTGTGAAAACGGCGCGCTGCCAGTGTGGTGGGCACCCGCTCTTGCAAGAACGTATTAAACTGTCACTGCCTGGTACTTTGCCTCCGTATCGTCACTGCTTGGGATTTCATTCCTAACAACTGTCCTAAACTTTCTACCAGTCAGCTGCATGGAATGACCACATGTTATGGGAGGGGAAGAAAATTTCTCCCTCTCCACTTTGTCCACACCATACATTACTTTCAACCCCTCTATCAGCTCCCCCTCACTCACCTTGTTCCTAAGTTGAACAGTCCCAGTTGTAGCCAGTCCTCACAGGAGAGCTGCTCCAGCCCTCTGAGCCCTTTGGTTGCCCTTCAGTTTTCCCTTTCAGGTGCTCTTACAGGGCACGTGCCTGAAAACTGGCCATGGTCTCTGTATAAAAATTAATGCACTTTGGAAGCTGATTTTTCTTCCAAGACAGACAACAATTCCATGGGGATCTGTGGTCATCAGTCCCTGAAATATTAAGTTAAAGTGACTAAAGGCTCTGAATGTTTACTTCATCTAATCACAGGTTTTCTGTGGAATGAATGCTGTAGTATTGCAGCCCTCTGGTGGACTCTAGCAGGCATGATTTTTCCGTAGGTATTTCAATTTTATCAGAACCGGCTCAGTCTTTAGGACTGCAACACTATATTCACTGAACTGGGAATACGTCCTGTTGAAATCAGTGGGCCGTATCTCTGTCTAAGCATTTGCAGGGCCGCACAACTGATCAGAGCAGTCTGTTGAGATGTCTGTGAGATGAAAACTCTACAGGCTTAACTTTTCATGAGATTAGGGCTTGGAGGAATGGATTAATGGGCCCAGCTCTGGCTCTCCCCCTAGAGGTTTGGTGTCAGTTAATTTGGAGGGTTTGGGTTGCATTTCCATCTATGTTCTTCCTGGATATGTGTAAATTAAAGCCAAATGTGGTAAAATGCAAATACTGGCCTTCTTGTGAGCCAAACCTAGGAAAATAGTGTGCCCCTGGAATTTCTCAGCATTTGGAGAAATGTATGTATGTTAGTTTTGAATCTGGACAGAGGAAGTTGGGAAACATGGAAGCTGAAAACCAAGGACTCATCAGGGCAGTGTATGTATTAAGCCAACACATTCAAATTTAACTCTTTGGTGACAGATGTAAGTATCCAAAATCTGCCAAGTTTTGAATGAGACATGATTACCCCTGTTGTTCTTACCTAGTTGTGCACCTACAGTTTGAGCTTAGACTCTGGGTGTAGAAAGAATTGCAGCTCTGCTTCTGAACATAGGAATAGTCTTTCATGGTTGCCAGGAAATGTCTGAAGCAGCCAAAGTCAGGAGTAAGTGAAGTAGTAAGCCATCCCGGTTGCATCTGGGGGCCCTCCTTCACGTTCTGCTAGGTCAGATTCTGGACATCTGCCCCAAACCCCTGCCCTGATGGCACCACTGGGGCACAGGACCATCTCGTTCAGTGCTCTCTACTCTGATAGGCAGTGGTTCTTCAGGTCCTTGGGTGGATTTTCTTCGCTAGACCTGTGGCCTGAGAGCCTTTATCCAGAGTTGCCAGGGATTGAGCATGGAATGACCTGTGTGCAAAATGATGGTCATTCTAGCCCCAGAGGTACATTTAGAGGTTTGGGATGTTGCAGGACTCACAGGACAAGTTATGCTGGGACCGGTTTTAGCACAGCCAAGGCCATGGGGTCATGCGGGGTGTGACACTCAACACCCTTGCAAAGGCCGGATGTCACCACGTAGGGTGCTCAGGAAGCTTTTGCAGCTCAAGTGTCCCTTTCGTGATGACTCTTAACACTTGCCCTGGGACCTCTCAAAACAACACATCCTGCCCCATGGAGGGGAAATTAAAATGGCAGCCATCCCGTGTGGATCAGAGGAGTGCTGCTGGAGACAGGAGGAAAGCTGCTGAAGAGGGAGCAGGCTGGCCACTTGAGCAGCACCAAAAAAAAAAAAGCACATGCATCACCCAAAAAGAGGACAGAAGAGGCACATTTCACGTAATATTTGCATATGATGATGAATTTTCATAGGTGCAAATTTAAAAATAATTGCTTCAATTAAAATGGAAATATAATGCATCTGACCATAGTGGAAAACACAGTAATCTATGCACCTGTCTTTTTGGATTTGTGAACTGCTGAGATGCAACTTCTGGTCTTCCACACTCCCTCCCTTTTTAAGCTTCTGTACTTTGAAGAGGCTTTGGATTGGGCAGCCCTTCCAATGGAGGACCACCCTTTGTAAAGTAGGAGGCATGGCCACCCTAGTAGGGAGGAGGAGGAAGATGAAGCCTAGCAGGGAAAGCAGTAGGGGAAGCCCATTAGGAAGAGCCACTGGCATAGGAGGGGGACATCAGAGGGCTGCCACTAACCCTGCTTGTGGGAGCGATGCACTAGTACAAGCACAAGCCACATGAGGCGGTGACTCCAGTTGTAGGAACTGGAGGATCATGAGGGGAGATTTCTCCAGCTCATGGAGGAGCCATCATTGGATTCCAGCTCATCTTCAAAGGCTCACGGGGACATAGGAAGTTGCCTTGCACTGAGCCAGACTGCTGATCAGTCAAATCAGACATGTGGAGCCAAGTTTCATTCCCCACTACCACGCCGGGTGGTGCTGCTAGCACCTTGGGCAGGGCCAAAATGCCCTCTAAAACCAACCGGAGCAGCATATCATAGCTGAAGGTCCTTGCTGCCACGAATGCAGCCATTTCAGCCTTGCAGAATGAGGAAAATCCATGCTTATTACTACTGGGAAAGCAGCAATGGCCATGGAAAATGAGTTGGGGTCGGTGGAAGGGAGCATGGCTATATAGGGAAAACTGGGGGCCCGAACTGGGACCCGCAGCAGATTTGGCCTCCAGGCTTGAGGTTCAGTTCCCCTGTTCCTCTGGGAGCAGCTGTCTAGGGCAGAGGCCCCCAGTGGAGTGCCCATGGGCCCATCCAGTTGTGCTCACAAAGGGGTCCCCAGTATTATGCCAACGGGGAGCCAAAAGTGTTATTTTGTTTTGATATGTGGATTTCAATGAAATGGACACAACAGTTTAGCAAGTCTACATAGGCTTTAATAAAGCAGACCCAATATCCAAATAACTATCCATTTGAAATTGGCAACTGTAGCCACCTGCTTAGATCAGAAGCATTTTAGGTCCCCCAGCCATTGCAGCAAATATAAAAAATAAAGGAAACAATCATCTATCCTTCTAGTGCTGTAACATTCTTTAGCTGCCAAAAGAGTGCAGAGAATCCATTTACACTAATCACTTATTAATTTCCATGAAGCAGGCAAATAATTTTCAAGAGTGTGCACATCAGTGGATATTAAAGACTGTTCCAGTTCAAAATTTATCTGTGTAACAGCATTCTCCCAAAAAGAAGCAAGGACTAGACATCACCAAAACATCAGGAAACATCAGCTGCATCGCACCAGCAGCAATTAGCTGAATTGACCATTGTTTAATAAGGAGACCTTGAAGTTTCTAGCAGATACAAAACACATGTTTTGGCTGATCGACATGCAGCCTAAGAGCCATAGATGTGACAGGTAGATGGATTATGTCAATACAACCACTGATAAGGCATACTGTGGTGGAGTTCACAGCAGTTTCCAGATGCTCAGATGTGCCCTTGGGTCCAAAAAGCTTGGGAATCCTGCTTCCAGGTGTCCAAACAAAGGTCTTTCCCCGGTCTATGTGGAGATGCCAGGAGCTGGAGCTGGCACTTTTTGCATGCAAACGCTGTGCATGATCAGTAGTATTCATGTAGCTAATTCAATACTAGTGATATACATTCCAAAGGCACAAGGTAACCGCCATATGGAATGCTAAATGCAGCATTAAATGGGCCACGTGAAGGCACATTCAGGAGGTGAGAACAAACATGGAGGCAGTGGTGACCATGTCAGGCTGGGCAAGGAACTTTTCATATAGGCTAGGTTGGTCAGTCAGTCAGTGCCTGCTTGCCTCTTTCCTTACTTCCTTCAGTCCTTCCTTCAGTCCTTCCTTCCTTCCTTCCTTATTTATAAGGGTGAAAGTATCCTTCCTTCATTACAATTACTGGGTCTGCATTCAGGATCCTGGAATCTGTTGAAAACAAAAAATAACCAAAGTTACACCAAGCAGAATCTAAATGTGACATCATCATGCAAAAATCCCTGACTGGGGTAGACAAAGAAAGAACAAAAGAAAGAAAACAACAACAACAATTTAATGCTAGGGACCCAGCCTGTAAAGCCAGATGGCTTTTGTTTTCCGCCTCTCTCCAGCCTTCTAATCCCCCCAGCAAAAGCAGGACATTTCTCTCCCTTTTCTTTTGGTTGGGTCGCACACAATTGAAGCTGATGGAGAGAAAGAGAGCTGAAAACGCTGACAGAATTGAAAACAAACAGCCACCAAGAATACGAAGGCGGGGCCTTTGGGTTTTATTTTGTTTCCCTTCCAGGCTGCCAGGATTTAGAGCCTTAAGCTATCAGGGCAGGTCAGTTATTTAGGGGGTGGTGGGGAAGCCGAGAGAGTTTCCTTCTATCTTTCTGTTTCGAACCCAGGAGACATCTCACATTCAAAGTGGACAGAGAAAGACACGTGCAGAGGGGATCCTCAGGCCCACCCGCCTCTACTCACGCCGCCATGTACAGGAGTAGCTACCTGCGTGAAATTCGCAAGGAGAAGTATGAAAGGTCGGATGCTTATGAGGAACTGCCAGAATCGCCAGAATTTGGCAGCCTGGCTCAAGCCCAAGGCCTGGAAAACCTGCAGGAGCTCAACGAGCGGTTCACCAACTACATCAACCGGGCTCGGGTACTTGAACAACGCAATGCCATCTTCCGCAAGCAGCTGGAAACCTTTCAGCGCATGGATGAGCTGGCTGGGCTGGAAGAGGTGTTTGCTGCTCAGGTTGATCTCAATCGCCAGCGTGTTCGCGAACTGGCCTCGGACAGAGCAAAGCTGGAACGTGAAGAGAAGGATGCTCAGCGCATGCTGGATGAATTCCGTAACAAGTAAGTCAACCGGAGCTGAGGGAAATGTCTCGATAGGGTCCCAGCTTCAGCCGTGCGCATGGTTGCTATCTCACCTGTCGTGCCATCATCCTCATCACCAACGTGCCTCCGGCGGTTTTCAGGGCATGTGGTCAGCTGGGCAAACCAGTCTAAGTTGTGGCTTCCAAACACTGCATGAACTACAGGGCAGAAATCAGATTTCCACCACTGAAGAGCTTTAGGGCTGTCCAGTCCAAGCTCCACAAGGACTGGAGTTCCAAATCTTGTAGTTGGAGCCCTGAATTTCTGGGAGGCCAATTAGCCTTGTTGTCCATGGGCACTTGCTGGCATGACGGTATGGGCCCCTGATTATTTCTGTTACATCTGATCCCCCTGAATTAGCTGGCTTTTTGCTCACATAAGCTTCACCTACTGCTGCCCCTCCCAAACCTTTCTGCATGAGGTCCCCCCCCCCCCACACGCCAAAATAAGATGTCCTCTTCTCCCCTGTCCACACATCCCCTTTTACACAAAGGAATGCCCTTAAGAAGCAAGGTCCTTTACACGCACACATGCACACGCATGTGAAGGGAGGGGGAGAGAGATATTTTAGAGCATATGTAAATCAGCATATGCACATTTTTATTTTTATGTTTTGCCCCTGTGATTCCAAGACCCAGATCTTTTTGGAATGTAGCACTGCCCCTAAATTTCCAGGTATTTTGGACTTCAACTTCCAACTTTTTACAGATCATAGGTTATGCTGGCAATGGCTTCTGTGAGCTGAATTCCAAAACATCTGGCCAACTATCTTCTGTCCACCGCTAATGTACTGAAGTTAAATCAAAGTTCCAAGAAATTTTGGGTCCTCTTTTTCAATGTCAGTGTCTTAGAGGGTTGTTGAGACAATACAGGAATACTGATACTTTAAATCAGTCTTTGATACTGATTTAAAGAATGGCAGTTAAGTGCCAATATTTTGAGATGCTGCTCATGATACAATACCATTTTTGCAAGGGTGAAGGGGACATAAAAATGCATTTGAATTTTCTAGGTTCATATCTTAATAATTGTATTCATCCATCCATCCATTTATTATTTCTATCCCACTTTTCTGCCCATTTTCATGCCCAAAGTACCTAACTGCACCAAAGTATACAATTTGAATACCATTGAAATGAATGGTAAAAATAAAAGAAAAATGAAAAATGTAGAGCTGGTAGAATCATATTTGCTCTACACACCTCAGCCAATAACAGGTTATTTAGTCCCTGAGGCAAAATAACTTTTCAGAGTTGTGATGACAATAGTACCTTTGAGGATGACAAGAGTATCCAACACATTTATGCATTTATGTATTTAATCCTTGGCTGTTCATTTTGCCAGGATGGTCAAGGCAGTTTATGTTTAAATACTGAAACAGAGGACTACCACCTGCCCAAACATCAAACTATAGTTCTTTCAGGGCAGTTACCCATGAGTCCCCTGGTCTGGGCCGCTCCCCTTCTTCCTTCCTCAGAGCATCTTGGTCTTAAATAGGCCCAGAGAAGGTGTTCAGGCTGTTGACTGGTCCCTTCAGTTGCTGATGCCAAGAGCATTCTGGCCAGGAGTAATATTTATTGCCAGTCACTGGCATTTATGGTAGGATGGAATTCTAAAGTAATAACAATGGTGGGATCCAAATATCAGTTAAGATCCTGCTGGATGGAGCAATCCTAATCCCAGTTTGACTGGCTGTGGGGGGCAGATTTGAGTGGGAGGAAGGAGCACAGCTTCACTGGCATGGGGCTGACTTATCCAGCACAGGAAAATTATCATGGGTGCTATTCTCAGCAGTGGTAGTTGACCAAGGTTTCAAAATAGTTCATGGGGGTGGGAGTAAGTAGAATTAGGGTGCAGGCCCTGAGGAGTTCATATAACTAGCCCCTTAAAAACTCCAGCTTGATGGATCAAAATCCCCCTTTGCTCAGGGTGGGTGGAGGATTTCTAAAATTAAGATCCACCAAAGACTGCTAATGCTACCCTCAAACCTTACTCCCTGGAGGATGCAAACTGGCTGGGATGTGGGAGTGAAGATCTGTGCCTTCCGCAATTCACTCCCCACCTACGGACTCCCCTGCCTCCTGGGACTGTTGTTCAGGAGCTGAGTGCGGGCAGTGATTTTTGGCATGTGCATTTCTTCACTCAGATTTGAGCAGTGTGCAGGTGAAAGCCTTGCAGATGTCAGGCTGTAGACCCATCTTCTGGCCACCCAGGTGGCACTGGTGGCTGCTCCTTAACTAGCATTAGGTCGCTGGGTTGAGCTACCCCTTACACTTCCCACAGTATTCCAGAGTGATGCTAGGCTGGGGCATTCGGGCGAATGAAACTGGATTCAAGATCGTGGCACTGCTCAAGGGAAAACAAAACAGCAGGCACCCTAGGGCTGGTGTCCCCAAGTTGACGCTTCCAGGATGCTCTGCGTCTGCCCACTGTCCAAGGTGCTGGGACTTCCTGGCACGGAGAGATGACAAACAGGCCAGGCCTGGGATAGGCAGCCATTGGAAGTCCTTTGGACTTTAAGGACACTATGCTGGGCACCTGCCCAAAATAGCTGCCATGGGAGATGAGGCCAATCACAATAGAGAAGGAACGTGCCCAAAAGGCTGAGTGCAAGCCAGGGTGGGGTTTGAGACTCATTTCTTTAGACTGATCACTTTTAGTGCCCTCACTTTGCTTTGAAGCAACGCCAGGTACGCGTAAGATGCCTGGTTGAGGGAAGGCCTCTCAGAAGTTGTCCAAGGAAGCACCAGGAAAGGTGCCCAGGGCGGTGTCACATTCTTCACCTCTGGAATAAACAATATTGGTAAGGCACACAGCGTGCCAGGTGTCAGCACGCCAAATGTGCAACCCAAATTTAATCATGATGCAATCCAAATATACGTTTTATTTACATGTCACATATGTGCATTATGTTGGTGTAATTGCAACATTCAAGTTGGATTTTCCGGGTGCACACCTAGAGTCCAGCCCGATGGACCCTGGCTGCTTTGCACATGCCTCCCCTAGTTTTTTCCTCAGCAGCTCTTCTGTGGTATCATGAAAGAAGTCCTGGGAAAACATGTGAGGGTTACAAATGGAGGAAACAATGAGTAAACCTTGCCATACAAATCCAGGAATGAGGCAAAGAAAGTGCACAATATAAGCCTCATCTCAAAGCAACCTGAATCACTCAGGGCTCGATTACTTGCTGTTGGATGGGCTTGGTAATCTTGCTGTCTGACTGAAATTGACATCCGGGTGCAAGACTCCTAGAATGGACATTTTGGAAGCAAATGCCACAAAGGCAAGGAAATATTTGCCTCTGTAATCTGACCTGGGGGAAAATGATGGTGGGCAGTGCATAGTTATTCTAGTGATATGTGGGAAGTGTACAATAAAAACCTTGAGAAGGGAAGACTGAAGGAAGACATGATAGCACTCTTCAAGTACTTGAAAGGTTGTCACAAAGAGGAAGGCCAGCCACTCGTCTTGATCATCCCAGAGCTCGGGGCATGGAATAATGGGCTCAAGTTACAGGGAGCCAGATTCTGGCTAGATGCCAGGAGAAATTTCCTGACTGTTAGAGCAGAACGACAGAGGAGCCAATGGCCTAGGGAGGATGTGGTCTCTCCCACACTGGAGGCATTCAGGATGCAACTGGAAAGCCATCTGAGAGGGCTGGTTTAACCTGGAGTTCCTCTGGCTCCTTCCAACTCTACTATGGAACACTTTTCTGGAGGGCTTTGTCTGTGGACAATAGTATTACTCCAGAACAGGAATATTAGTGATCTGATCACCTGAATCCTTGCTTCCTGGCACACAAAAATGTATCCTCCACCCCTATCCCCCCAATTTAGTATTTTTTCTCTTATCTTCTTTAGTTTTTTCTGGTCTTCCTACATATCTCACTGAAATCAAAGACTGGATTCTCATCAATTCCAGACTGTAGCATAATTTAATGATCAGAAAGAACATCAGCCCCAAAATATGATATACCTGTTTTTAATCTTTCCTGCAAGGAACCCAAGATAGTATATGTAATCCTCCTCCTCCTCTCCATTCTATCCTCACAACAACCCTGTGAGGTAGGTTAGGCTCAGAGTCAATAACTGGCCCAAAGTCACCCAGTGAGATTCATGGCTGAGGAGGGATTAGAACCCAGATCTCCCAAATCCAATAATCTAACCACACTGGATCTCAGTTGCAATTTTTTTCCTCATTACTGTCATTCATTATAATTATTGTAATAAATACTGAACAAATCTTAATTTATTGATTCAACTGTATTTGTTAATTTTGCTTTTCTAAATTGGTTTCTGGTATAGTGTAAAATGATGATTTTTATGCCAAACACACTGGACATATTCAGATATAAAACGAACATAACCATGGTTGAGCATTATGTGAATGAACTTGGTCTCCTCTTAGATTTAGACACCCTCCTTCCCCTCTTCTTCCCTTGTACAGCCAAAAGCAAATGTTTGGACATTTTTGCTTTCACTTTTAGCTACCTACAGTGCGTCATTTCATCTGAACTGGGAACTACAGTTAAGATTAACACTAATTGTGGTCATTTTAAGCAAGCCACTTTCATAGACTACAGTGGCCAGTTGGGTTGAGTTAAATTAATCATCAGTTATGTTAATTCCAGAGCTCATTTCCAGATGACCAAAACACAGTTTGGGGTTACCTCTGAATGAAGTCGTGGAATAGGAAGCGGAGGTCCAATGGAGTCATTTCCCTTCTTGCAGTGCTCACACCCTTTGTTCGTTTTTCTTCTTTGTAGATACCGAAATGAATGTGAGTACCAGCAGATGCTGAAAGCTACTCTCGAGCGGCTTAACAAGGTGAGTTCATCTTATCGGATGTAACAGGAGGGCCTAGTGACATTGCTCCGCCATGGCTTGTATGTTCACACGGTCACTGGAGCTCAAGTCCAGAACAACTTTTGATTGGCCAGGTTGCAACTGTGGTTTATCTTACCTCTGAGGCCAAACTCTTGGTGTGGTTAACAAACTACCCACAACCCTAAAAGAAGCCATGGGTTCGCCGTGGTTTGTTAACCACTCGAACCACCAAGTGTGCCAGATTCTGATGACTGCATAAGCCCCAGACACAGTAGAAATATTAAAAATGGCCACAGTAGGCTGCTTGATCTTGCGGACTGGTCCATGGTCATTAGTCAGCAGGTGACACTTGTGCATTCCCATGTCACACTACTGCTCTTGCAGCGGACACGCTAGCTTGGGGTTTAGTGAATGGCCCCTTCCCTGCTTTAATGGAACACTCTTTGGGAATGAAAAATGTCATTATTAAAATGTGTGCTCAAATGCACATGTAAACACACACATGAGACACAGACACACAAAGACAGGAAAAGCCTTAAATGAGTTTGTTCTGAATTATTTCAGTCAATAGTACTGGATGGCTGTGTAAAAAAAAAAAAAAAACATGATGTAAGTAGAATTTGTACGTCAGCCATGTGAAATCATGTACTCAGATTGCCTTCTGAAGGACTGAATGTACTCTGTAGGCAAGCCAGCACTATCCCTTTTATATAAACCCAGATATTCTCCATGGCAAAGAAAAGAGACACACGAACTGTTCAAGGGGGACTGTTTTCAAGCAAAATTTAAAATACGCTTTCTTGGCCAAGCATCCTCTAAAATTAAACCTGCACTGGGGGCAAACAGGAAAATGGTTTGATTAGGCCTTTATGGTACAAAACCCGAAAGAGTAATTCACATCTCTGGAGAAAGTTTATTGTTTTTCTTCTTGAAACACGATGGTCCACAATTGAAATTTAATAGCTGTATACCCTCCTGAATAATTTTCTTTCTTATGCATTGAAGACATGTTCTCTTCTAGCTCTATTTTTAATGGCTAATCTTTTTGTGCTTGTTTTTGTTCTACAGTTGATGCATTACTTTAGCGTGTTTTCCTCCATCACTTGGGGAAATCACAAAAGAGATTCTGCTCCAGGTCGATTGGCATAATTATCGTCATTTCTTAACTTATATTTTGATGTTCATTCTCTATTATTTCATACTTCAGGAGTGTGTGTGTGTGTGTTGTGGAACCTGGCTAGTTCATATCCCAGCTTTAAAGTGGAATCCTGAACTAGTGCTGGGCAAGCACTTTCTCAGCCTTATATTATACTCCTCAATAAAGTGGGAATAATCAGGGTGTATGTCTGGGTTTTGTGTGATGAAACCAGAGACCTCAAGTGTGCTGCACCTTAAAAAGATTTCTTAGTCCTTTCTTTTCCCCACTGTCCAGCTGTGTGCTCTCCTCTTTCTGGAAGGAGATCCAGTGACTGATATGAGGGAACAGGCACAGATGCTAAACGACTATTTTGCCTCTGTGTTCTCCCCAAAGCAGGACGGGGGATATCTGCATAGGAGATCAGATGAGGCTGGGGACTTAGGGCCACAGATTAGAGTCACCCCCCTTGAAGTCGAGAGGCTCCTCAGGGCATTGGACATTACAAAGGCGCCAGGCCCTGACGGGTTACACCCGAGAGTACTTAGAGAGTTGGCAGAGGTTCTCTCACGCCCACAGGCCTCCATTTTTGAGACCTCGTGGAGAACGGGTGAATTCCAGAGGACTGGAGGGTGGCATCAGTGGTCCCAATTTTCAAAAAGGGTAGTAGAAAGGACATGGGGAATTATAGACCGGTTAGCCTTACGTCCATTGTAGGAAAAACAATGGAAAGGCTCATAATAGAGAGAGATCTAGTGATGCTAGATAGGGAAGGGAGGCTGACAGCCACACAACACGGCTTCCGCAAAAACAGGTCCTGCCAGACAAACCTTGTGGAATTCTATGACAAGGTTTCGAGGTGGCTAGATGGAGGGGATGCAGTGGATGTGGTATACCTGGATTTCAGCAAGGCCTTTGACAAAGTGCCCCATGATCTCCTGGTGGAGAAACTGAGGAGTTTTGGGATACACCAAAGCACTCTCTGGTGGATTAGGGCATGGTTGACTGACTGAAAGCAGAGGGTAACCATTAGTGGGGAATCATCGGGATGGCGGCCAGTGACAAGCGGGGTCCCCCAGGGCTCTGTCCTTTTTTATCTTTTCATACATGATATGGAAGAAGGAGTGAACAGTCTGCTGATCAAATTCACAGATGGCACTAAAACTGGAGCAGTGGCCACAACTGAGGAGCAGGTACTCCAGATCCAAAAGGATCTGGACAGACTATGGAAGTGGGCAGAAGACAACAGGATGGCGTTCAATGTGGATAAGTGCAAGGTCTTGCACTTGGGGCATAGGAATAGCTGTCATAAGTACAGGTTAGGTGACAAGTGCCTGGAGAGCAGCACTTGTGAAAGGGACCTCGGGGTGCTGGTTGACTGCAGGCTAAACATGGGTCAGCAGTGTGATGCGGTGGTCAAGAGGGCGAACGCCACCCTTGGTTGCATAGCCAGAAGTGTGGCTTCTAGATCAAGAGAGGTATTACTACCACTCTACACGACTCTGGTGCGCCCGCAACTGGAGTATTGTGTTCAGTTTTGGGCCCCTCATTACAGAAAGGATATAGCCAGGTTGGAGTCAGTGCAGCGTAGGGCCACAAGGTTGGTGGCCGGTTTGCAGGGGATGGGGTATGAGGTGAGACTGAGGGAACTGGGTCTCTTCAGCCTGGAGAAGAGGAGACTCAGAGGGGATCTGTTGGCGACATACAGGTATGTGAGGGGATGTCACATGGAGATGGGTAGAGACCTGTTCTCCCGTGCAGAGGAAGGCAGGACACCCTCCAACGGAGCAAAGCTCAGGGAGCCAAGGTTCCATTTGGATGCCAGGAAGCACTTCCTGACAGTCAGGACCCCGAGGGTGTGGAATGGGCTTCCACGGGAGGTCATTGAGGCCCCATCGGTGCGGGTGTTCAAGGATAGGCTGGACGTTCACATGGTGGGCATGTCATGAGTGGAGCTGGCTGGTGCTGGAGGTCAAACTAGATGGCCCGGGAGGCCCCTTCTGACTCGCTCTGTTTCTATGTTTCTATATTTCTTTCTATTGGAACAGACGGCAGGTATTCACCAGTGGTTAGAGCACCGGACTGGAACTCAGGAGATCAGCGATCAGGCCCTTGCATGGTCACAAATTTCACTGGGTGACTTTGGACCAGGCACTCACGCTCAACCTAACTTACCTAACAGGGTTGTGGTGGGGATCCAGTGGAAAGCAGAAGGCTCATATACACTACCTTGGATTCCTTGGCGGGCAAGATGGGACACAGGCACACACACACACACACACAATAGAGAAATCAGCCTGATCATTTCAAATTAATTATTTAAAATATGTAAATCAATGACTGCAAATAGCTCCAGGTCTTCTGTCCTGTCTATTGAGGAGGACCACTCCAAAACATTTTTCTGCCTTTTTCAAAACATTTTCCGAAACAAAGTTCAAGTTGAGCAGCTTCCCTGCTGGACAACACACTGACTCTTGGGATGCTTCCCTTTCCACATCCCAACTCAGCAGATGAGCTGGGGGAGCGGGGGCAGGATGGGCCACAGGACCCACACAGCTTTGCCCTCCGGCACTTGGCTGCAGTTCCCTGGCCCAGCCTGAGGTGGCTCCAGTCAGCCCTGCCCTCAAAAGGGGGGGTGGGGGGGGAGTTCCTAAGGACAGTGCAGCAGCCATGGAAGGAATTAGTTGTGGGTCAAATGTGGTGTTCCAAAATCAAGCAAATCTGGAAGATGCTCCACACTTGTGGAATGATTTGGTTTAGGGCCAGCACTGAATTGCAGCAATGCTCCTTTTGTAGGCAAATCGAACCTTTTTTTAATAATTTGGTTTCAGAAGTTGTAAGGTGAGTAAAGAGCTTTCTCTGCCAAGCAGTTGGTCCTAACTAGAGAGTCACATGCATTTAGCCTCTCAGGGATAGGCAGGCTAATGCAGCCCGGCACTTCTAGAGAGCACCAGATGTATCGCCCATGCAGAAGACAGACTTTGGAATGGCCTGGGTGCCAGTGCATCTTTCCTCTTCTGTCACCTTTTTCAAAGTGAAGGCTAAAATCCTACCTATGCTTACTCAAGAACAAGCCCAAATGAGCACACATCAGAGTAAACATGCATTAACATTGGCTGTACATGTCCTCAAACATTTGTCAGCCGGGCAATCTCCACATAGGACAGAATCTCTGCTTACCTTTTGTCCCCTTTCTCTGTTCTCAGTTCTGGCCTTGCATTGCTCCTGCCATCTATTTCTGTTACATTAGAAGAAACAGCTGAATCCTATCAGTTCTGATCTGAATACACTGGGGACATGATACATTATTTTTCTGACGCTGGTTTGTTTGACTGGCGCTGCCGTTCTCCGTCAACTTGCATTTTGCGAGAAAAACATGGTGATTTGAAGCACAATTGGTATTTTGCTCTTGGCAAAGTGCTGTCGTTCCGAAGGAAGCCATCCACAGTGAGATGTGCAGCTCAATACTTCCCCGGTCTTGGCATTTGGGCATAGAAACTCCCTGGCCCATCACTTTCCACCTGTCCCATGAGCCAGGTGTGTGCCAAGAGTGTCAGTGTGACAAACATGTGCGTAACAGGTTGCGGCACTCAGTGAAAGACAAGACAGAATAGAAGAAACCAGCTGAATTGGGCGTTGGACAAGTGGCTATGACTTGTGACTCCTTTTACTTGCAAATGCAATTCAATCAGGGCAACAAACACCTCCACCCGACCTGCCACACACTGTAAATATCAATGGTTAATGCAATCCCCACAGTGGCAGCTTGCAAACAAGCTGCTACACGGAAATGGTTGCTAGAGAACATTCGTAGATAAATAACAATAAATTTAAATAACAAGCTTGCCGAAATGCGTTTGTTTCT